TGATGCTTTTCATTCTGAAGGTTTATATTATAGTTATTTTGCTTTATAAACTAACTCCAATGTCTGTCTTAGATAAATATAGATGCAATTTTGATCCATATTTTGAAGGGTATTTCTTTCAAATGACCCTCTCTATTTAGCTATCCTAAATGTGGCAGCCCGGAACATTACAGTGCTGAAGAGCTACAAAATTACTGGCACAGAAATTCTTGCAATGTTTCTAACCCCAGAATTGCCACTAATGCAAGAACACAATTAGACCAAGCATTTACAGAGCACAACAAATACCTGACTACATGGTGCAGTTGTATAGTAGCAGAGGTTGAAACCGTCCAAATAACCAAAGGGATTTATTTTGGGGAAAGGCATGCGGCTACATATTCTAAACAGCTTAGATGGACTCAATCAAAACTCTTTGGCAAAGCAGATGTGCAGGCAGCCTGTCAGAGGCATGCAGGCAGTGTTTGATGCATAGGGAAGGCGTGCTGGGATGCTGTGGGTGGTTTATATCCGACACAAGAACATTCACCGCTCGCTGCCTGGTGAGAGAGCGCACGGCTCGCTGTGGCCGTGCACCAGCTGGGACTTTCTGGGTTGGTTCAGCCAGAAGTTGCAATAACCACCCCAGGAGTCAAAGACTACACAAATCAAGTTGGTCGGTGTGAGCTACCAATAGAGACACTCTATTCCTCCCTCGTGTCTGCAGTCGGTGAGCTGCACGTGCTGCACCCAGCTGGGAAAATCGGGGCACGCACACATTGATGGGAAGGTTGCACCCCAAGCTCCCCTTCTTGACTGAAGCAGCCCAATGGCTCATTGTAGAGCACTGTGCCTGTCTAGATCTCACTAGTGGGGACAGGACCAGGTCGCCCCTTCAGCAGGGACAACATGAAACCTCTGTTGTCACAGGCTGGGAGTGACACTGCTCACCCCCCTCTCATTCCCTCTGGAGCCACCCTTACCTCCATCGGCGTAGGTCTCGGTGCCGTAGCCATCCTGCAGGCCATTGTTCCATGTACCCTCGTACTTGGCTCCGCTGCTCATGCTCTGCCTCGCGCCGTACCGTCCCTTAAAGCCATGGGTCCACTCGCCTCTGTAAACCCACCGTCCTTTGGTCTCGATTCCCAGGCCGTGCCTCTTGCCTTGGGACCAGTAGCCTTCGTAGGTGTTGCCGCTGGGCCACGTGTATATGCCCACCACCTCGAAGCCGTAGTTCCAGGAGCCCGAGTACTCGCCCTGACCCTTGGGGCCGGTGCAGATGCCGTGCCCGTGGGCTTTGCCCCCCTCCCAGCCCCCGCAATAGGCGCCTCCATCATCGAAATCAAACCTGCCGCCGCTCATGGTGCCCTCCGGTGCCCCTCAGCCGGGCTGCGTTCCCAGGGGCAGCGCTCCGGGGCTCCCGCATCCCCGGAGGGAACGGGCTGGGCGCCGAGAGCGGCCGCTCCTGCCTCGCCTGGCCCGGCCGAGGGGCTGGGGCACGAGAGGAGAGAGAAATTGGACGAGAGGGAGGGGAGAAGGGCGGGCCGAGCCCCAGCCCCCCCGTAGGGGCAGCCGCTCCGCGCCGGTACCTGCCCCGCGGGCACGGACATCGGCCGCCCGGGGAGCCGCCCCCGCGGCCGAGGGAGGGATGGGGGTCCCGATCCCCGCGGCAGAGGGAGGGATGGGGGTCCCGATCCCCGCGGCAGAGGGAGGGATGGGGGTCCCGAGCCGGCCGCTCTCCCCCGCCCGGCCGCCGCCGCCCGCCCCGTGCCGTCCCGCTCTCCTCCCCCGCCGGGAGAAAGGTCAGCGCTGCCCTAACAAGGCCATCGGATCCCAGGAGCTGCTCCCAAAAATAACCCCCCTGGAGCCCGGCCCCCGCCTCGGGGCCCTTTTATGAAGGAGGGGAGAGACACATCCCACCCCCCCGCCGTCCCCCGCCCCGGGCAGGGATCCAGGCGGAGAAGAGGCTGGGAAAGTAAATGTCTGCTTAAAATAGAGCCTGGGAAGGGGCCACCGCGCTCCCCCGGGCCGGCAGCCGCTGTCCCGCTCCGCCGGAGCCCCGCGGGATGCGGGGACGGAGTGCCCGGGGCCAGGTCACTCACACCGTGGGTAATTGGGCAGGGGTAGAACAAGGAGCCAGAGCACAGCCGCCACCCGAGTGCAGCGAGCAGCTCACTCAGCCCCGCTGCTACTTCCAAAAGTGACTTTGCAGAGCTGCTTTAGGGTAATGAAAGAAGTTCAGTAGTAGTCATTTACCCCTCTCCCAAACAACAAACTTGCCAAATTTCCTTCTGTTTAACAGCCAGCACACTCAGTCTGTGTCACAGACACACGGAGTAGTGACAGGACACCTTGTGTGTAATAATGTCATCAAATGCGGATGGCAGAGGACAAGGACTGAAAGACCAGGTAACAGCACACCCATCCTGTTCCTAAAGACACTGTCCCAGCAAGACCATGGAGAAATGACCCTCCCTTACTGACCACCACGCTGAGAAGCTGCAGGAGCTGTGGGATGTTACCAGCCCTTCCAGGGGAGATCCCAAAACCCCACTGAACTCTGGGGCAAAGCTGCCACAGACAGTGGTGGGCTCGGACTCAGTTTTTCTGCTTTCAACCTCCTCATTGGCATTTGTAGGAAGAAAAGGTACAGAGGAGCCACACAATATATAACTGTGACAGAAGCTCTGTGTATGGACAGCATAAACACAGAACACCTGCAGGCACAGGTGAGAAGGACCAAGTTAGAAATTTAATTAGAAAGGGCTTCACTTTTATTCAGCCACAGGAAGGAATGAGCTCTTTGGTAATGGACTCCAATATGACTCAGAAGTGCCACTTGGCAGAACCAGCCCTCTAAAGCCTTCCTTAAAAAAAAGTCAGATTTTGAAACTGGTTCAAGTTAATTTTTTTTTTGTTTTAAACTAAGTTTTTAGACTGCTTAGGCAAGTTTTCAAGGTTCTTGCTGCATGATTAAGGAACATAAATTCACATTTTCTCAAAGCAAAACCAGAAGGTTTTGATCTATGGTTTCTGCAAAAACCAAAACATCTGAAAACACCTTGAGGTAACAGAAGACAAAGCGTTAAGGCAGCAGTTGCAGCAACTCATGGTTTTCTATTCCATGGTGTTCCAGCACTTATGAGCCCAAAGATGTCGTAACTGTCCCAAGAGGATGCCAAGTTCAGGACTATGTAATTATTTACTTAGCAACTTTTCCTAATTACACATCACAGTCGTGAACTGATTGCACACTTTGTTTAAACATTAATAACTTATGCAGATTTTGGCATTTAAAGAGCTTTTGTTGACCACCAACAAACCCACACAGACTGCAGAAAGCACTGACGGTCTGTGTGCACAAAAGCTCCACACAGAGCTGCTCTCGTGTCTTCATTTTGGCAGAAAAACTCCCGTTCTCCCCGAAGGCTGAGCCTGCTGCAGCAGCCAGACCCAGCCTGGGGCTGACCTCTAGTGGCACTGCTCGTGTCCCTTTCCAGTCAGCACCAGCTCACTTTTCTATTTTTACATCTCCTGGATTTCAATCCACTTTAACACAGTCCAGAGCAGTGGACAGTCCAATCCTAAACCCTGCAGTACAGGTCTGTGGTCACTAATGAATGAAATGGTAAAAGCAGTGCAGTCTTGAAAGGCACTTTCAGACCCACAACGGTGCTGTGGTTGGAATTTGCATTTGAGAACAGTTAAGAATAATTATTTAAGAAATAAAGTCACGCTGCACTTTGTAGCCCAGTTTTGTAGACAACAGCTGCCAAAACATTGCCTTGAATTCAGAACACAGGTAGCAGAAATGCAGAGTACAGGAAGAGGTGTGGGAGGGACCCAGGTACGTTCTGCACAGTGTAGCTGACACTTTAGAACTGGCAAAACAAGTAAACTTACACGGCCACTTGTTCTAAGACACCAGGTGCTGCTACAGAAATTGCAAAAAAGCCCCAAGAGTAACACCAAATGATTTTGCAGGAAAATGTTTGTCTCCATTTCTTCTCCACATCTTACACGTCAGAAAGTTGAGGTGATGCAAATAGTAAAAACAAACCAAACACAACTTTTCTCCCCCTCAACAAATTCTATTATTTGATCAGCTGCTCCTTTGCTAGACATTCATATAAGGTACTATTACTGGAAAAGTGGAAAGCAAACCTTTTATTGAACTTCCAACAGGCCTTAGAGACTTGTCTGCAAGAGAAACACCCTGCATTCTCGAGGGGAGTTGCTGCTGTGGTTAACCAAAGGAAAGTGAGGGCATGGGCTCTGCTCACTGTATTTGTTATGGAGACCAAACCAGAATTTCCTTGTTTCATTGGTCTTTATTCGTACACTGTCTGTCAGTTTTGGGGCTTTTTTAGCTTCTTTATTAGCCTGCTCTATAGGACCAAGTATTACCCTTCCTACAGGCATTAAAAACCAGAGACTGGAGTGAACAGTTGTCAGCTGTAGGGAAATCTTGAGCACTGTGTCTCCATCTTTCTAAACCATCATCACTTTAGCTGCCCTGTCCAGCTTCAAATTCTCCTGAAATTTACTTCTACAGAAGCAAGCAGCTCTCCATACATAGTGTGCATCAGCACAGTGTCTCTTTTCTGAGTGTCTAGAAAAGGAGTATCCCATCAAATAATATTATTTGCTGAGGGTGAGAAAAGTTGTATTTGGTTTGTCTTTACTATTTGCAGTACCTCAATTTTCTGGCTCCTTTATGAAATAAAATCAAAGGCACAAGTATCCAAAAGCACAAACCTGAGTCTTACAACCTGAGGTCCAAGTGGTTTCAAAGGAGCAGAATGACACCAGGTGTCTCACAAGAGCTCTAATCATCAAGCAATCTAGGAACTCCTCTCCACCAAAGCAGAGAGGACTTTGGAAATAAAGTAGAATTAAGTGTTGGGTCTCCTAAGTACAGGGAGGTATGCTCTAGGTTCATTTACCACATTATCTACTCCAAGCTTAAATTATAATGCTGAAACTAAACTGGTTGTCCAGCTTAAATAATCAACATCAGCTGAGATGCAAAGAAGTGTTTTTATTGCAAGCACAGTGAGCAGGGAGTGGGTTGCATATTCACATCACGTGCCTGAGGGCAGATTTTAACCAGCCATCCTCCTGGTTTTAGTGCTCGTTGCTGTCAGGTGTACATCATTTCTGCCATGTGAGACATTTTCTTTGGAATATACAAGTAATACTCCATGTATCCTGAAAGATCTTCAATTGTCACATCATCCACAAAGGCCCTGGCTTGCTCAGAGCAAGAGCGTGGAGAACTTGATGGAGTTCTTGATGGCAAAGGCTGGGAGTGATCCTCAGAAACCGTTCTATCAGGTGCCAGTGGGAGGGTGTTCTGCAAGCCAGAGAATTTGTACACTTCCATATCTTGCCACAGTTTGCACTGACAGGCTTTATCTGCACATGCACACGGCTCACTCGCGTTCAGCTTGGACATAGACTGGAAGTCAGAAAGCTCTGTAGTCTTTAGGCTTGTTTTGGATATTGGAGAAGCTGCAGATGGAGAGTTCTCCTGTGTGTTCTCCGATGTCAACTGTGCAAAAGGAACTCCCAAAGACTCATCAGCTCCCTTCTGGCCAGCGTCCGGAGCGACACCGCAGCATTCGTGTGCACAAGGTTCCTTTGGGACTGGCATCCCAAACCCACTGCTGTCCTCCTGGGCATCAGCCTGGCTCTTCTGCACCAGCTGGCTGCATGTGGAGTGTGATTTTGTGCTGCAGTGGATAAACTTTGGAGGATGAAGGATTGGAGACTTGGAACGCCTGCGACGCTGAGTTCTCACAACTCCTCTCGAGGGCTTCTTCATAGACCTGCCAGGAAAAGACACAAAGAGAATGAAGATTCACCAAAATACTTATTGCTGAGTTATAAGTAACACTGGGCAATTTATGCATTATATGCATTATATATGCATTTATATTGCATGCACGAGCTTTAGGTTTGGAGTATTTGCTCAGGCTATACTGTCTTGGAATTTGACTTTGCTCTAGACAAGCAGTTGTATACAGTATAAAAGGAACACCACAGAAATGCATCTCAGAGAGTGGGCTTTAAAGCTCAGAAAATGAGTAAAGCATGTGAAACATGGCAAAACAATCTCTACAAGAAGGACAAAGCACAAGAAAAGAGGACAAAACTAATGATTCAAGGGCAAAGGACAGTTTTGTTTCAGATGAGCATGAAGTTCTGCAGAGATACTCTAGAAACCAATTCTTTATTTTAATCTAGTTCCCAAGGCACAATGACAGCTTCTGCAGTGTCAAAAAACGATTGAAAGAGATGCATTCATGACTGTCTGATTCAAAACCAGCAGCTCACATTTGCATTGAGAAATATCTATAACATTTAGCCACCTACAGGTGGCCAGCATTTCCTTTCATTTCACGTAACTGTAAAGAATAGCAGTCATACATGAAGAAAAAAAGGTGGTGTATTTTAGAAAGTTCTTTGGAAAAGATAATTCAGGTCCTTTGTTTAGAGGGGCACCACCCAGAAACTGTCTACTTAACATTCCTTTTCAATGCAGTATCATTTAAAATAGTCTGATAATCTCAAGCTTCTCTTACCCATGCCAGGTTTCCTTAGAAGCACACACATTCTTAGGTTTGGTTTCATCTGCCACTGCTCTAACTATTGCTCTGGGACTTGTCCCATCACCCACAGAGAGAGAAGAGGTACATCTGTGAGAGACAGAATAAAGAGTTAACAGCCTACACTGGTTAACGTTATGATTACAAAAATAAACCTTTGTGTATCTTCTTTCCCAGAAAATATTGCTCCAAATCATTTAGAACACATCTTAAAAGACCTGCCCACAAGGACCCACATCACAAGGATGAGTGTTGACACGCTCCTATCTCCAAGGTTTGTATAACAGACCCTTTAACCGAGAGATGCCGTTCACAGCTCCACTGCAGAGCCAACCCTGCGTGTCAGTGACAAACACACACAATGGCCAAATTTCAGCTTCCCAGGAGAGGGGAGGGCAGAAACACCATCACTGAAGAAACACATCTCTTTTTCCAGAGACAAATAAGCCATTCTTTCCTAAAAATAAATGTTCTTTGGACATAAATAGACTTTGTTTAGCTGAAGAACACTTAAGCCTCTGTCTAACATAGCCTGTTAACCTAAGCTAAAACTCTTCATACTCCTGCAATTTGAATCATCTGAGAGACACAGAATTGTGTCAGACCTTCAACTTCTATTCAAAGCAGGGACCTTAGGAGATTTACTTAACTTTCTGGTGCTGTAAGTTCATTCCACACTCTCATTTTGAAGGACTTGCAATAACCCAAGAACAATTCTTTCAAGTTGCGACTTCACATATTACAGTGGAAATCCCAAGGAAATTGTTTTCCAAATGCTATGTTAAATTAGTTTGTAAACAGGACAGATTCCCTGAAAAGTGAAAGTGAGTCCCCACACACTGATCTAGGATGGGGTTAAGAGAATCCAAACTATTAATCAAATTAATTTCCATTTAAAGGACAATGAATACAGAACATGATATCAAAAGCCACCAGTAAAAACTCCGAAGTAATCAAATATGCCCAGCTGGAGGATGGTACTAGACATACTGAAGAAATGAGAGATAATTCATTACTAATGAGTTTAATTACTTAAACAAAAGGTAACTTTAGAAGCCCATCTATTCACAATCTCAGCTCTGTGGTAATTCCAGGTAAGGCAGCATCAAGATGGTAACCAGATTAAAAAAACATTATATGGAAGCCTTCCTTTATTTAATTTCAGGTAAAAATTATCATTACCAACAGAAGACACATGATGCTTGTGTTCTGCCACCTGGGAGAGTGTAGTGGCACGTGTCAGATCTCCACAAACCAAGACAACACAAAAAGCATTCTTTCCCATTTAGTGATTTTGGTTATAAATATAAATTTTGTGACAGCAATGAAAATAGTTTGTGTGGGAATGATGCACTGAATCTAACGCTCTTCCTTACTGACATGGAAAGAAAGTTTCTCTCCTGGGAAAAGATGTGATTTTATTCTCATGACAGGCCTTCAGAGCCATGGCAATACACTAACTTTGACAGTGGACTCCTAGTTCTATGGACTTTAGTACTGGTAACCTCTGGCAGCCAGATTCATGCCAAAATTCATTTCAAGCACATTGTCAGCTGATCATGATTGTGAAGTTTCTTTCAACCATGCTGCAAGCTGACAGCAATCAAATAATTTACAATTCCTTAAGAAGTGCAGTCTGCAGGTAGTGAATTTCAGTCTGTTTAACTACAATGAAAGCTTTCTATGCCTAACCTTTTGCAATTACCTCATTCCCTCAAATTTCACAGCAAGGGTGTTCCCTTTGAGTCCATTTGTAAGATGTTAAAGTCTGTGCCTCCCTGTGGTGTTACTCACCCAGCTGTGTCAACTCTCAGCTTTTTGAATGCTGTCTGCAGGCTTTCCTCTTCTCCATCCTTAGCTTCTGATTTCATCATTGGGATGGCCAGAAGGTGATAGAATTACCATGTACTGCTACAAGCAAAAAAAAAGACACATGAAAATAAGGGCCAAATCCTTGCTAAAAACATTAGTTGCCCAGCAGCACCATAATACATGAAAATAAACTCAAAATAGCACACTGAACACACAAAGCTGAGGTCATTCTTGTAGAACATTTTTGGAAGCTGACTCAGAACAAGAATATGAATATGATACCCAAGAATGAAACAAACAGTCTTCTGCACAACTGTAGGTGAATTAACAATTCAAAATCAAATTTGGTGTCAACAGCATCTTGCACGTACATTACAGCCCAAACAGACTGTTCCACTTGTCTTACAGTGCTACCAGAATAAGTGTGGAAAAGGTCAAAGTGAGAAGGAACAACACCATTAGAAACAGTCAACTTTCTACAACTCTTCCTTCCAAATCTGGGACTCAGTGTTACACACACACTTTAAGAAAAACCCAAACCAAGAGATTTTTCTTAAAACAAGATAAAAGTTTTAAGTCAAACAAAACTTTTTGACTTTATGTCAAGGTCCCAACTAGAGTTATACGGTCCTATTGGAACACGGTATTATGGTTACAAATAGCTGTTAAAATTTTCCAATATCAGCTTGTGAACAAGTACAAATATAAACAAATAAAAGAAGCAATCAGAAAGCCTTGCTTGAAATAATAAAAAAAATAATTATAAAAACTGGCTATTTTTTTTTTTTTTAAATCTACACTGGCCATCATTTAATCTTTCTACAAAGGATCTCAAATCTCTCTAAGTTTGATGCTCTTTGGGTTTGCTGGAGGTCAGGCATTAGTGGTGTATCCCAGGATCAGGACTGTCCAGTCCTTTTTAACATCTTCATTACCAATCTAGATGATGTGCCATGGTACCCTCACCACATCTGCTGATGTCACCAGCCTGGGATGAGTGGCTGAAACACCAGTGGGACCTCAACAGGAACCCCATGAACTTCAGCAAAGGGAAGTGCACAGCCCTGCACGAGCTTTTTTTTATAGCAAGAAAATAACCCTCTTTTCACTGAGACCTTTTTTTCTAAAGCTCTACAGCTCAGTTACTTACGAGGAGGGATGGGGATACATAATAATAATCTCTGTTCCCCCACCCTCTCACTCCAGCTGGAGGTGGCAGCTCTCCCCACTGCTGCTCTGGCTGCTCACTGTGCTGTGATTTCACCTGGGTGCTCTGGATTGCAGACAGCTATTATGACACACACAGAAGGATAATGTATCATAACAATTTCAAGGCACATGATGTCCGATGAGTCAGACAGGGAGTAAACAGGAGAGGAAGAAGCTTAAACGCTGACAACATGATGCTCATCTGAGCAAGTTACTATTTCATATTTTCTCTTAGACAAATACTACTGCTCTGGTGAAACAGATGGTCTCTACTTCACTTTTATTCCCTGATCCCCAAGTCATCCACAGATGACTCTTTGAAAAAAAAAAATAAAAAAATTCAGGCTACATAACTTTGGGGTTTTTTAAACAGCAAACTCCTGTATTACGTAACTTCAGCGGGAATATAAAAGTAAAAAGTTTTAAAACCATTGTACATTACTCAAAACAGAGTACCAGTTTTTAGACTAAATACTTCATCGTGCTCCCCTTCATCACCAACACTGCAAACCCTCAAAACAATGCGGAATTTATTTAGATAAAAGTCTCACTGGGTGATAGCAAAGTACAAGCTTAAGCATTTTTAGACGCACGAGCCAAATAGCACACACTTAAAAAAAAAAAATCAACGTGAAAACCAGGCAACGTTTACCGCGTCAAAAAACACACTGAAACTTACGTTTTTTACCTCCCGGGAAAACACACACCTTTTCTTTGCCGTTGTATTTTCGGCTGTATTCCCGGTACCAGCGCACTACAGCCCCAGTGAGCTCCCGCCGTGAGCACGGACCGGCCACGGGCCCCTCATCCATCCCCTGCGGGCTAACGATGCTCACAGCCCGGCCGTTCCGGGCCGCGGCCCCAGGGGGCAGCCCACGAGACAGGAACTTTCGTGGTTTTAATTTTTATTTCATGTTTTTTAATTTTATATTTTTAACCGCTCGGAGTTCCCTTCTCGCCCGCGCCCCGGGGAGCCCCAGCAGCCCCCGCCGCTACCCCGCGGCCCAGCTCCGGGGCTCGCCCGTGACTCAGCACCGCCCCGCGCCCCGCCGAGGCTCCCCCAGCGCCCTCCGCCCTCACGAAGGGACCGGCAGCGGGAACCGCGCGGGAAGGTCTCGCCGCGGGGACACGACGGAGCCCACCGGCCCCCGGGGGAGCAAGGGCGGCCCCGCGCAGGGCAGTGGGATGAGGACGGGAACGAGGACGGAGACAGGACGGGACCCGCACTCACCGCGCTCCGCGGGCCGGGCCCGGCGCCCCCCGGAACCGCCACCGCTCGCGCACGCGCACCCGGCGGGGCGGGCGGGGCCGGGGCGCGCCCCCGCGGGCGGTGACGTCACGTCCTGTTGTGCTGCGCGCCCCGGGCAGGCGGCGGTGGGTGAGTGACGGCCCCGCGGTCCCCGCGATCCCCGCGCCCGGCTCTGCCCGGCGGGACGGCAGCCCAGGGGCGGCTGCGGGGCCGGGGGGCAGCGCAGGGACCGCCGCGGCTCTTCCCGGCGGGGCGGCGAGGGGAGGCCCCGGGGCAGGTGGTGGAGCGGGGCTGGCGCTGGGCTGCCGCGGCGGTGGAGCCTCCGGCGGGCGCGGGCCTGGCTCGGGCCTGGCGCTGGTCCCGGCCCCGCGGGGCTGTCGCGCCCGGCAGTGCCTGGCCGCCCCCGCTCTGCTGCCGGTGAGAGAAGGCTCGGGAGGGATCTCAGCAAAGGGGGAATGCCTCAGGGGTGGGCACGGAGAGGAAAGTCGGGCTTTGCTCACTGGTGCCTGGGGACCGGAGCAGGGGCCGTGGGCACACACTGAAACGCTGCCTGAGCATAAGGGAACGCTTTTCTCTAAGGGTGGCTGAGCACACGCTGTCCAGGGAGACGCTGGAGTGTTTCTCTTTGGAGTTATTCAAAGGCTACCTGGACATAGTCCTGGGAAACCAGCTTGGCTTGTCCCTGCTCGAGCAAGGGAGCGGGACCTCCAGGGATCCCTGCCAACCTAAACCATCCTGCGACTCCTGAAACCTTTCTGAAGCTTTGCTGCAGGTGCTGTGCTCACAGCTCAAAGTTACACAGGTTGCTAGGATCTGTATTCACCCATTGATTAAAAGACACTTTGATATTTTTAACAGAGGCTGTGATTGTTCTGGAAAACTCAGACTTTGGAGTTCACAGTGAAAAGCTCAGGGTGGGTCTGGTCAGAAGGCAGTGATGTTGCCCACGGAAAAATGAGCACCCATCATGGTGTCAGCCAGTTTTGTGCAGACCATCTGTGTTCAAACCTCAGTATGAAATCCAAATTTCTGTGTTTCAGTTTATTCTATATGGCACGGTTGATTACCCACTGAGAGCACTTCAATGGACTTGGAAGCTAAAGATGAAGAGGAGGAGAGTCTACAAACAGCATTCAAGAAGCTGAGAGTGGATGCAGCAGGGTAAGTGAGCAACAAAAAAGGCAATGTAATTTGTCAGGTTTTTATTACATATTTATATTTGTTTTCTATTATTTTACATTTCAAAAAGAAAAGCCATTTGGTGAAGCGTTATTTGCTCTCCAAGGTTCTTTGCTCTCTCTGAACTGCATCACTTCAGATGAAATGCAGTCATTATAACTGTCTAATATGCAATGCAGTACTTTATTACAGTGTGATTTTGACTAATATCCAACTGAAATCACACAGCAACTGCATGTAAACATGAAAAAACTCACTTAAAGCAGTGAACCCACTTTCAACTGTTGTAGCTGTAGTCACCTGGTGCAATACAGAATTTGTTTCTCTGTTCCTGTAAACACTGGTCCATGTGTTATAAGCCCTTATTTAGTGCACAAAATTTTGGTTGGAAGGCATCTGGACAACAGCACCACCACCTCAGAGTGTGCTGGGGAGCCCAGTCTCACTGGGAAGGGCCAGGCTAAATATGAGCTCTGATCATTTCTGATTTCGGGGGATTTTGTGGAGTAAAATGTCTGCAGACATTCTTACACTAAAAACTTAGTAAGATACTGGGTGTGCTGATAATATGTAGTGTAATAAAATTACAGTGATAAAATTATGCAGTCTAACACTCTGAGACAGTTCACTTGAAGTCTTTTGGGAATTTACAAACACAAGAGGAAGTTTTGTGTTGACAGTGTTACCTTGTGAATTCATCCCCACAGCCATCAACACTGTGAATTCAGGATTTCCTCTGCATGTGGAAATATATTTTGCTTTGCTGCTAATTTCTCTGCTTCAGGAGATCTTCTGAGCAATGTGGAAAAAAATAGCTGTTCTCTATCATGGAACTATGGTTATTAATCATAACACTTTTGATGTAGTACCACTGGCAGACTGTGTGGGCTTCTGGTTGATTCCTGATGACATCTTAGGCATAAAAAGATCTTGTTTTGCAGGCATGTGTTGTGAACAGCTCAAATCTTGTGACTAATCAGTTAAGATTAACTTTGGGCAGAGTGTTTGGGCTGTTTGATAGAATTTCAGCCTCATTTCTTACAATTTCCCATGTTTAAAATCACACCTGCAGCCATCATAACTATAAATACAGATCCACGTGCTGAGGCATTTATGTTTGTGATCTAGACCTCCAGGGTCAGATGATTTTTTCACTCCATGCTCCACTCAAAAACTTAATGAGAACTAAATAAATCAGTAATCTGTCCTTGCCTGTTGTACCTCATCCACTTCTCCACTGACTCCCCCTCAGCCTGCTGCTCCAGGTGCCTGACTTTGCATTTAAGAGGAGTAGGAGACTATCTTTAATGACTCTTGTCTGACAAGAACGTTTGGAACCTCAGTTTACATTCCTTTAATGCGTCATTTTAGTACAAATAGGGCATGACATCAACCTCTGGTCATTTTGGCTGCCTTTCATTTTATCTCACCTATCTTTAGCCATTTGACGAGGCCAGTATAGTAAGAGGGGTCGGATAAATCTCTATATGGCCATGTTTCTACCCACTGACTACAGAAGGAGTCAGTGCACCAAATTTGATGGGCTTAGCTGAGCATCCAAAGCACATAGGCTGAATGTGGGCCTCTGGAGCCATATGTTCAGGCATTTCTGTGATGTGGCATTTCCCTTTTTACCCAGATGTATTGCAGCTCTGTCCGTGGGCGACGGGATGATTCTCAGAACAACGACAAGAGCAGCCATGGATGGAGCCAAGCAGCAGACTGCCAGCTCCAAGGAAGCGTGGCATGGGTAAAACATGACACATTGAACAGTTGCAGGCTGCTTTCAGTGCGAGTTGTTGTCAATTAGTTGCTTCAAGATATCTTTCTATCACAAAATGTTTCCATAACTGATGCGTTGTTTTTAAGGGGATTTATCAAAGTCTTTAAAAACAGTACTGCATCTTCTCTTAGAGAGGGTTCCCAAAACTTTTATTTTCTGTTGATTTAATCTGTAGTACTTTTCTGCAAGTCTTAAACCTTTGTGACCCCCTCTCACCTCACTCTTGGGTTCTTTTATTGCTTTTGAAGTACCTGGATATTCAGTGTGACTGCCAGCAGCTCCAACTGATCCAGGTTCTGCACTACAGTTCAGTTTGGGATGACAGAGTATCATCTGCTTAAGGCAGAAGATTTGGGGGGAAGCACCTTGAATAAGAAGACTTGGGGGGAAGCACCTTGAATAAGAGTTCCTTGTATGTATCTTTCCTTTGGGGGAACCCGAATTTCTTCAGAGTCCGCCACGTTTTCTGTCAGAGATTGTAAGTGACCAGTCATCTGGTACTTCCAAGCAGAAAAATAATCTTGTAAAATGTTTTTAATCACATTTTGGAGGTGACTGAGCTGTAGTGTATATTCTGGAGTTACCCACTTGCTCACCTGTTGAACCCTGCAGGTGTGTGAGAAAGCCTTCCCGAGGATCGGCAAGGGTCCCGCGGCGCCGGCGCTCCAAGTCTCCGGTCCTGCACCCTCCCAAGTTCACCTATTGCAACATGAAAGCCAACAATCAGCTGAAACACAAACCCCAGGCAGACACTTCGAAGGGTATCATCAGCTCAGATGTTTTTGTCCCAGCAGAACATGGCACGAAGGACGGGCAGGATTCTCACCTTGAGGCCAGTAACGACAGAACTGAACCGTTGGAAGCTTTCACCGCCGAAGAGCCTTTGCAGAAGAGGGGGGAGAACTGCCCTGCTCTCTCCTCATCCTTTGAGAACAGCTTGCGTTCTAAGCAAACCTCAGATTTCCAGTCCTTATCCATGCTTAGCAAGGGCAGGCAGTGCCCTTGTACGGACAAGAAGTGCCAGTGCAAGCAGTGGTGCACCATGGAGGTGTACTCCTTCTCCGGGCTGCGGAGCGTCCTGTCCGAGTGCGAGAAGGCAGTCCTGGGAGTCCATGCCCACTCCCTCCAGAACAGATCTCCCTCTGGGACAGCCTCAGCAAGCTCTCACAGGTCTTGTTCTGAGCAAGCTCGAGCCTTTGTGGATGACGTGACTATTGAAGATCTTTCGGGATACATGGAATACTACTTATATATTCCCAAGAAAATGTCTCACATGGCAGAGATGATGTATACTTGACTGTAAGCACTAGAGAATCCTGAAGCAGAGTTTGTTACAATGGTTGGGCTAATTGCCTTGTCAGTGCCATGTTTTCACTGTTGTGTGTTTGATTAAATGTTTCTTTGCCTCATACAGTTTAGTTTTCTAATAAAATGAAAAATTAAATATAGTTTCTGAGCTTAGTTCTAAAAAGAGTGCACTAAAGTCTCTGAATACCTTAACAAAAGCACACTAGATCAAATGAGCTCTGTTTGGTTTTTGGTTTGTGCTGTGAATATTGAAGCTCTGTATGCTGTTTTCACTATGTTTTGGAAAAAGCCCAAACAAAACCAAAAAACTTGTAGGGTTTTTTTTTTTTCTGATATTTTGAAGTGTTTGGAATGTTCATTCTTAATGTATCTCAGTACTTAGAGAAAAGTTTCACAGCTACAGCTCCATCCTCCTTATCCTGCTCTAGAGAGAAGGATGAGAAGGCATTCAGCATTTTGGATAGGATGTATCTCCTTTCCTTGAACACTAGCTGGCTTCTTCTTTATTTGGATCAAGTTGTGAATGCTTCTTCCTTAGGAATTTTTTGGGAGGTCCAGAACATGCAGGTGTGTACTTGGACCCTTCCTCAATCTAACTCGCTCACTCTTAAGCAGTTCTGTTTTTCTGCAGATAAGTGAAGCTCTTAGAAGTAAAGATATATTTTGTTATTTGTGCTTTACAGATGGAATAATTTAGGGGGAAGTGAAGCAGGCTATCAGGTTTTTTTGGGCTGTGCGGTCTCAGAAGTGGAGAGGGTTGAACCATCTATACAGGATGTTCCTGAGCACATCTGATACACAAAGTGGTGTGGAAAGGGGGTGAAAAAGATGTGTGTATCATCCTGGCTTTGTGCTGTAGAGCTATGACATTCCTGCTGGTTGAAAATACTGCAATAAAAAATTCTGTTGCCGAGACTTGCATTAATAAATGTTTGTCAAAACCCAGCAACTTAAAGTCTGAATAATTTAACTTATATTCATCTTCCCTCAAGACCTTTTTATTTAAGAAAAAAAAAAACAACCAAAACACAACAAAACTATAGTTTCAGTGTCAGCTGAACATGCTCAACAACCATGTCTGAGTAAAATACTGTAATTTTTACTCACATGCTAAAAAATGAGTGGTCGGGAAGCCAAGGAGTCACAAGCAGTTGTGTATAAATAGATGAAAAGCAGATGCGGACAGTTGGCCTTGTATTCTTTGCTGGAGAATGCTCAGACATTCTAATGATAATCCCTGTAGATTTTATTCTCACCATCCCTAAAATTTACAAGTCCAGGAAGCTGAGATTTAAAATCCAAATAAATCAAGAAACATAAGAATACAGCTACAACTAATTTTGCTCTTAAGTTTCATGCATATATTTAGCATGCAGTATTTGCTCTTACTCAAATTAAATGTAACTGATTGCTACATTTTCTTGTGTCACCTCCCTTTTCCAGCACTATCCTGCAGTACCCACACACACTTTGGGTTTCCTCCACTTTCCCTTCTTTCTCCCTACAGAAAATCTGGTATCATATGTACTTTGCTTTTAAACATAAATATTTAGTACCAGTTATCTTTGCTGCTGCTGCTATTTTTTGAAGGGTGTTTCTGCTTCAGCAGAGGGTATCTGCTCCTATTTTTATTCACGTTTTGGTTCTGTGCCCTCTTTAAAACCATGGGAATTGTTGCTAGACAGAGGGTTTTTTCCCTTATAACAGTTTCCCTGCCTCTTTGCCAGCATTGATCCAGAATCCACGTGTGTGAAGCTGAGGCACAGCTCTTCCACGTGCACAGAAATGGTTCTGTAAGCCTGGTACTGGTTATCCCCACTCCTCACTGTATCTGGAGCCTTACTGAGGGGCACAGCAAGGCCCTTCTGCAGAAATGTGCAGTGGCAGCCTGGTCAAGGTCACCTTGGGGCAGTTTCTGCTGTGCTGCTCTTTAATAAAGTGTGCAGAACCCCAGGAAGTGTCTGGACTGGTGTTACATAAACCCAGTTTGGATCAACAGTGTTGGAAGGGCACATTTTCAGTAGTGGAGCAGGACAATGTGCCACAGACCTGCTGTGTCCAGGCAGAGAGGAGGAACTGGGAAATTGTGGAGGTTAAACCAGTCCACAGTAAACCCTGAAACTGAGGGCTGAGAAGTGAATTCAGGTTGCCAGAACACCAGGTGGGAGGGAAAAGCCTGAGAGCAGGTTCTGAGGGCACACTTCCACGGTGTCCTGTGGAGGCTGGAAACTGCTAGTGAAGGAGGAAGGAAAAGGGAAAAAAGACAATAAATCAGTTGTTTTGTTTTCTGCCTGAACCCCTGTTTTTGCTAGTGTTTAAGCACATCTAGTGCTGCCTGTGGCAGAGCAAGGCAGATATTTTGGTTCTTGACTGCAATTGTGAGGTTTGCAGTAAATGTACTGGAACACTGCTGCTGACATTTGCACAGCACAGACCAACTCCTGGGGGTGAATGATGGGCCCTAAGAGAGGCCCAAACTTACTGTTTCCATCAAAACCTTCTCAGTTCAGCTCATCCATATCACTCTGATAACGCAGTGACTTTTTTCTGCTGCCTGCCTGAAACCTCAGGATTTATTGGAAAACTGCATCTTCTCTGGGAATGCCTGCACAGCACCTTGAGCTTGATTGATGAGTAGAGGTGCCCTGGTAGAAACAGTGCTGAATGCAGCCCTACTGCTCCCCGCTGCTGCTGTACCTGCCCCAACAATCCTGGGGTTTTTTTTTCTGTGTGTGGATGCTCTAGGATCTGTTCCCAGTCAATCTACAGAATATGTCTGAAATGTTCTGAGAAAGCACCAGTGGATTTGCAGTGCTCCCAGGAGTTTAATCCAATCCCACCTCTCTAGTTCCTATCTCAGCAGACCCAGCCTGTGTGTTTTCCAGTAGCTTCCCCACTCCCAGCACTTTACAATTCCTTGTCCCTCTACTTCCAGGACTAGTTAAACTGAAGCAGGATGCAGAAGGGCACCCTGGATCAATGACATTTCTTTCCTGCCTTACAGAAGCCAAATTCTGAATCCAAGCTGAGCTTTACATTGGCAGACACCGAATCAGGCCACTGGGGAAAAAAAATCAATGGAGCCGTTTCTAGAGCCTGCTTTCCACCCTCTCCTTCTAAAACAGGGAGGGTTCGTCTGTGCCTGCAAAGTCCCGTGACCATCCTCCTGTTCTCTCATCTCTGTAACCTTTGCATCAGCTCTGAGATGAGAACCTCCCCTGGATTCGGGATTTCCAAACTGTGGCCAGCAGCCACAATCCTGCTCCCATGGCACCTTCTGCCAGTGTCTGCCAGAGCTCAGCATCCCATGGGGCAGCCCCACGCCGACCCTCCTGGCAGTCAGGGAGGCTGTATTGAAGAGCTGGGGATGATCTCAAGGTCACACAAGGTCAGGACACCCCTAAAGGGGGCTGGCATCCCTTGTGCCCTTCAAGCCTTGCTCAGTTTAACAAACCAAAACCCAGCTTAAATAAGCAGGTCCCTACAGAAGCACCGTGTACCTGCAGGACCCAGAGGGATGCAGCAGCCTGTCATGTTTCACTCCCCACGGCGCAGCATTAATTCATCACAAAATGTACCGCTAGATGGGGCCTTCCGGACAGCGATCCAGGGAGAACAGCTGCTGCCTGGACAACCTGCTCCCTGCCTTTTCTACACCCACCGCGTCCCCTTCCAGTGCCAAGAGCCCCCAAAGATGCTTGCGAGGAGGGGAAGCTGTGGAGCAGAGGGCAGGCTGGTGCTGCATGAGGGTGCCAGCTCTTCAAAACTCAGTTTTCCTTTGTTTTTGCAGCCCCAGGGCAGAGGCCAAGCAAGAGCCTGTCCCTGTGGGTGACCCTGAGGCCAGTTCAGGGACCTGGGAAGACCTGGGCTGGGGAGAGAGCTTGTTACTGGGGGCTGTTGCCTACCGGGGGGAGAGAAGAAGGAGGAGCCAGGGCAGAACACAGCACTCCCCAGCCTCACCCCTCTCATCACCTTCCTGCACACCCCGAGGAACAGAACATCATAACAAACAAACAATTCATTTTCATCTCCCAGTCCCTAGAAAACTGCTCCTTGCACTATATTTATGCAGCTGGGTGCCAGTCTGGCCCTGCTCCCTTCCAGTGCCCCTGGGTGAAGCATGCCTCAGTTTCCCCACTTGAAGCAGCTCTTCTAAACCTTCCTGTTTCTACCCTCACCAGCCCCAGTGGTTCACACTGAGAGCCCCCACACAGCCCTGAGACACAGGCTGGCTCCCTGTGCCTGCACAGCCTGTCCCAATCCTCACCAGAACCTGCCCCTACAACACCCCCAGCTGGACTGGCTTTATCCCCTGGCACTGGCAATAGTTCCAAGGGTGGGAAAATATCTCCAGGCACCCAGATTGCTGAAAATGGGGCATGACAAAGCCAAGTGTCATAAAGCACAAGTCCAGATGTCCAGGTCACTGTATTCAGCTGCCTACACATCTGTACCTGCAAACCTCTGGGTGATGCTCATAGGGCAGCAGCTCCAGAATCCCCAATGCTCTCCGAGTCTCCTGGCCCGTTTGGAATTGTGACACACCTTGCTGATTCTGGAAGCGACCCCCAGCTGTGCCTACTTTGTCCAGCTTGGGCAGGCATCCCTGGCTCTGGTACACACCAAAGGCTCCTGGGCTCTGCCCCTGTATGGGCTACATAACACCCAATAGGCAGAAATTAATTTGTGCTCTCCAAAAGTAATCGAATACCTTTAAAGAGCCATTGCTCCTTCTTTTAGTGAAGGTTGCAAAGCAGGCAGGACACCTTCTAGGCATTTTAAAGCCAGTGTCCATCACCGTGGCTATTTATTACACCTCCGCCATATCTAAATCAGTAAAAAATAATAATAATAAAAAAAATCTTAATCTCTGCTGAAAAATGTTCTTCAGGAGCCGCAGGGGTTGGAGCTGCCCCGGATTGCCGAGCTGGCAGGCAGGCAGGAGCCTCCGCTGCTGCCTCCTCTATTGAAGCGATGCCTGCACGTTTCCGTGGGAGCCCCGCCACGAGCGGGGACGGGCTGCGAGCCCAGCCCCAGCCCCAGCCCCGGCGGAGCCGGCAGCAGCCTCTGCCGTGACCCCGAGCCCACCGCCCCGCGCTGCCCACCCCGGCCGGGGAGCCGGAGCGATGGGCTGGCAGGAGCCCATGTGATGCTGGGCTAGCGCCGCTCGCTCCCCGAGCCTCTCCCGCTCGCTCGCTCGCTGTCATGGCGACTCCCAATAATGTTACTCCCACCAACTGCAGCTGGTGGCCCATCTCGGCGCTGGAGAACAACGCGGGGAAATCCACGGAAGGCGAGGAAAATCACGACCCGACGGACCCCGCTCTCAAATCCCAGGACAGATTGGTTTTGTACCACTGGACCCAGTCTTTCAGCTCGCAAAAGGTAAAGAAAACAATCGCTCGGCCGGACTCCCGGGCGAGAATCACCTCCAGTTCCCAGGGCATCCCTTTGCCTCGGGAGGATGGAGGCGCTCGGGGGAGAGCGAGGGGCTCAGCCCCGTGGCTGCCCGGGGCAGCAGCGGCCAGGCAGATCTTTGTGCCTTTTAACAGCATCTGCCCGGGGAGGGGATGGGCACGGGGATGAGGATGGGGGAGCAAATCTCGCCTTTGCTTTGGGATCACGGCTCGCACCGGGAGCCGCCTCGGCTTTTGTGCTCGCTGCCAGCCCCGCACTGGCGTGGCCGGGAGCGCAGACAAAGGCAGAGCCGGGCCCCGGGACCACCCTGCTGCTGCTGCTGCGAGAGGAGAGGCAGCCCCGAGCCAGGCTGGTGCTCAGGAGAGCATCCCGGACCCCAGCACGCAGCGATGATTCACCTCACACTGCAGCAGTGCCCTGGATATTCTATTCCCGGGGTGCCCCAGCAAGAAATCCCTTTTTCCAGACCATAGTAAATGCTCATTTCGCAGCACAGCAGCTGTGTAGCAAAGCCAGCCTTCTCCCCCGGCCCCAAACCCCCCGCATTCCTAAGCCCTTAATGCCATATGGAGAGCGGGCTGTTGGAGGGGTGGGTGGAGAACACCAAGTTCCCGGAGCCAGGGCCTCCCCGAGCTCCGCAGCCCCGCGGGAAGGCCGGGGCAGAGGTGCCCGCTCCTGCGTGCACACACAAAGGAGGGAGGATGCCCAATGCAGCAGAGAGTGCCCGCACATGGTCGGCACCGCCGGCAGCACGGGACTGACGGGCTCGGTCGGGATCCGCACTGGCGGGGGATGCTCGTGCCCGGCTCCCCGCGGAATTCCCAGGGAATGTTTTGTCTCCCCTGTCCGGGATCCCCCTTTGGGGAGCTGGCACGGGCTCCCCTTGCCCTCAGGCACTGGGGTACCTGCCTCCTGCCCAGCAGCTGCCTCCTGCCAGGCCTTCAGCTCCCGACAGCAGAACAGGGAAGCGCAGGGAGCTCGGGGCTGGATACCCCAGGTGGTACTGGCTGAGGTTTATTTATCAGCTGGGAGGAAAAGGCCAGGAGCGAGTTGCAGTTGAGGAGCCCAGGCTTTCTCTTGTTTGACTTTAAAAGAAAAAAAATAACTTGCCAGTCCTGTGAATAATTAATGACTAATTCCCCGGGAACTCTGAAGTACTCACAGAAATGCTTATATATGTTAAATTGTATTTTTAGCTGCTGCTAGTTGGATGAAAACAAGTACTTTTCCCTCATTCAGTGGTTCTGGCTTTCTCACATCCCCCGTGGGCTTTTTTTTTTTTTGTGTTTGACATACTTAGTTCATAATAGTCAGGTTTTATAACCCAGAAGCCTAAAATGCCATCCTGAGTGCATATTCAACACAATCTCACACACAGAGCAGAGCAGCAGGATCAGCCCTGAGGGCTGGCAACTGGGATGGGGATTGTGATGGTGTCCCACATCCAACCTCACTCCTGCCTCCTCCTGCCCCTCTGCAAGGCTGGATTCACCTTTCCCACCCCTAAGATGTGTGGGTGCCACCCCCACAGTGCTGCTGGCAGGCCCAGGAGGGCAGGGGAAGGGAGAGGCAGCAGGTTTGACATGAGAGGTGTGAAGGTGCTGGGTGATGCCCTCAAGATAATGTCAGCATGGAGGAGGAGGAACGCTGTGCAGGGTCACAGGGGCTGCCTGGAACTTCCCATGGACCAGAGCCTTCACCTGCTCAAAATGTGCTGGTAAAGCCAGAGTCCAGCACTCCTGAGAGTGGAACATACCTGAGTCAGCATCCAGATCTCCTTCAGCCAGACAGCAGGACTCATTGCTGCAGCCTCTGTTTCCTCCTCTTCCTCTTCCTCCTCCTTTTCTTCCTCAGGTATGTGCTGGGCTATGCTGGGATCCACAGCAGCATCACTCATTCTCCCCCAGCTGAGACCCCCTGCCTCCCTCCACCCACTGCTGAGGGATTGGCTCTCAGCCCTCCAGCTCCTCTGCCTGTCACACAGGCCACCAGGACCAGGGAGGATGGCCCATGATTCCGAGAAGACAGGAAGGGTTTGGGTATCACCTCTTTGCCAGGAAAACAGATTATTTCGTGTTGCCTGGATTTTGCAGCTGTTCCATGGCACCAGCTGCCTGGCTTCTCTCAGGGCCAGCACGTGACCCTGGCATGTGTTTAAGTTTTAGGGAAGGGTCTGGGGGTGTAATGGGGTAGGGGGGACTGGAGACCAGCTCGGTGGGTGGGCTGAGCCCTTTCTCCCCGGCCTTTGCCCAGGTGCGGTTGGTGATCGCAGAGAAGGGGCTGCCCTGCGAGGAGAGGGATGTCAGCATGCCCCTGATGGAGCACAAGGAGCCCTGGTTCATGCGGCTCAACCTGGGCGAGGAGGTGCCCGTCATCATCCACAGGGACAACATCATCAGCGACTACAACCAGATCATCGACTACATGGAGAAGAACTTCACGGGAGGTAATGCAAGGCTGGGCTGTGCCTCAGAGGAAATTTGTGTCTGGTCCAGATTCTGTTTGCTAAACAAATCCACTTTTTCCTTTAAAGTTTCATCTTCATCCTAGAAGATCAGCAAGCCACCGGCCCTCCCCAGACTTCTATGTTTTCCCATGAAACTGAAGAATTTCCAGCAGAAATCCCCTGCTGGAGGGCTTTGAGGGGTGTGAAAGCTGAGTCCCTCTTTTTCTGTCCTGGCAGTCACGCTTCCAAATCAGACAATTTCTCTCAGTCCCTATGGTGCATGGTGGCATTTCACCTGAGTCCCCACTGGGGCACAGCCCATGGGAACACTTCTGACTTTAGGCACATTTGTGCTTTGGCCCTGGGTAAATGAATAAAGGGGCCGTAAGGGCCTCTGCTGAGACAAGATGGGTTTAAGCCATGTGCTGCTGCCCCTCTCCCTGCTTCCTCAAGCATTCCTGGGCCATGGGCAGGGGACCCTGCTGTCCCTGCTGCTGCTGTACCTCAGAGGACACAGCCTCTTTAAAGTCAAAACCAGCTAGTGGTGCTGAGGACCACGGGAAGATGATGTGACACAAACCCAGAGGAAGGGACAGCCAGGAGAGGGAAGCTGGCTCCCCAGAGCAGGGACATTCCCCCTGGAGCAGGGCTGCAGGCCTGGCACACTGGGATGCTGAGACAGAGCTCCAAGTCAGCTTTGCTCAGCAGCTCCCTGGCATCTCACATCTTCACCCTCATTCCCCCAGTCCTGGGGGCTGCTGGGCCGGGACACCCACTGGGCAGCCTTCAAAGCTGAGCAGGGATCTCGGGCTTTGCCATCACGATGTTCTCCCCAGCATCCATCCCCTTGCAACAGAGACATCAAAAACATCTCAAAATAGCTCCCCAAGCAAGGGCGCCTTGCCAGCTCAGCTGCTGTCCTCTCCCGGCCCTGCCACTGTGCTGCTGCTCCGGGGAGGCTCACAGCTCGCTCACCAGTGGGGCAGCAGGGACGGGTCTGTCAGGACAATCCCACACCAGCAGCAGGTCCTAGGCAATGGCAGCTGCTTTCCTGCCTGGCAGCAGCACCAAGGGACATCAGGGAGTGTCAGTCCCTGCACCACTTCAGCTGGTCTCTGTGAAGGGCAGGTGGTCTGACATATGTGACAACAGGCTGTCCTCAGCAGGAGGGGGACACAGAGCTGTCTGAGCACTGGGAAACTCCTATTGTTGAGATTTTCCAGCCAGGTGCAGTTTCTTACCTTTTTGCTGAGAAATGGAGAGGGGAAGCTCCAGGAAAGAGGGCCCAGAGCATCACTCCCTGCTCCGTGCTCTGCTCCATCCTATCACTCAGCAAAGCAGCTGCCAAAAGCATTACCAGGATGTGGCAGCGCTGATCTTGAGTTTAGGATCTGGGGGGGAATCAGCCACCTTGCAGAAATGTGTAGAGTTTGAAAAGGCCTTTACCAGGTATTTTTACTGAGCTATGTTTCCCCTGGGCTAAGAGCATGACCTTTATCAGCTGCTTACGCACATTGGGGACCAGCTATCAGTAAAGGGTGGTGTGTGGAGAAATATTTTCCTTCCCCCAAAATAGCAGTGAAGAGTGCCAATAAGCCACATTTGAGGGTGCTTCTCACTAGGACGCTGCCCAGCAGTGCCCAGAAACCACTGAGGAGTTGACCAGGGCAATATTTCTTCCAGGCTAGAGTGTCCTCCAAGGTCTGCACCCCCTTGCACAGCCATAGAGTGCAACAGCAACCCTTGTGTGCAGGCTGCTGTGGCTTGTAAAGGCAAGTCAAGCCATCCCAATAAAAATCCTCCCTGCAACGTGCTGAAGGTTGTGGGCTGCTGGCCAGCACACCGCTATTTCATTGTGGTTGCTCCATCTTCCTGCGGGATGGGACAGTCCCTCTGGATGTGCTGTTCCCAGCCTCAGCCCCAGCCTGCTGGGTGCTGGCCAGGAGCCCTGGGGAAGGAGAACACAAGCTATAGGTCAGTTATTGTTTCATTCATCTGGTCACTTTTCTCAGGTGGAAAATCCCCACTTGGGGAGCTGGAGCCCATGGCAGGGAGGAGCCACCAAAGCCCCCCTTTGCTCAGAGGACAGTGACACTGATGCCTATCCGTGGGAACACCTTTGTGGAGCCTTCCAGCAGGGACAGTCTGGGTCAGAGCCATGGGGGGATTTCCAGTACAGGAGGTACCAAAATGTGCCTGGCTCTCATCCAGCCATGGGCACCAGCAGGCACGATAATGGCAAGGCAAGATCCCTGCCAGGCGGGCACTGCCATGCCTGCAGCCCAGCTCCTGCCAGCCCTGCAGGGCTGGGCAGAGCACAGCTCTCACTTCAGGCCCTGAAACAAGGGGCTGCACTGGTCACATCTGCCAAAGTCCTTCTGCCAACGTGACCTAACTCAGGTGGAGACACCGGCACGCGGAGAGCCCAGTGCTGCAGACAGGATGAGGGCAACAGAGTCCTGGTGATGGATTTACTCACCTGAGCTGCTCTCTGCAGACACTATAAACATTTATGATCCCTTAAAAAAACTGGGAGAGATAAAAAACTTGGGGGAGACAAGAGCAACGTTTCTCTTCTTCTGGTGTCATCTGCCATTTATTTTGAACTGAAAGTGTAATAAAAGGAATGCAAACTGCCACTCATGGAAATTGAATAAAACCCAGCAAGGCAGGGAAGAGCAGAGCCAGCCAGGGCAAGAGATGTTCCTGCAGCTGAGACACTGGCTGAGCATGGAGGGAAAATACACTGGGCTCCTTTGGTCATCTACTCACATGGCCCATTTTTGGGATTTTCAAGGAAACCCAAGAGAATGGGGTACTTCAGTGTCATTGGAGTAAAGAATATATAACTCAGGAGATCCTAAACTAAAATCCTCTCAAATTAGCTCTTTTCTACAGACCAGGAAGATTTTTCTCCCATTCTAAGAGATGTGAAGTTACAGTGTACAAATTCAGAGGCTGTGGGGACTCAGGGCTGGCTGCACTGAGCCCAGGGAACACGAGGGCTGTGGGGCTGGGTAATGACATCCGCACACTTCCCTGTGCTCCTGCGGGTTTGCCCATCTCGGGGCATGGGCTGGCTGGGATGGGCAGCGGGGAGGGAGAGGGCAGAGCACGACAGACCTGAGTGAATGCTCTGCCTCAGCCAGCCCTGCTATGTCAGCAGGATTGCACACTGCTGTCCAGAGCAGGCTGATGAGCTGCTGTGGAGCTCTTGAGCCCTCCCAGGAGCTGCTCACACCCGTGCCTTTGCCCTGCAGAGAACGTGCCCCAGCTGATCCCCGAGCCGGGCAGCCTGCTGCACTCGCGGGTGCTGCAGTACCGGGAGCTGCTGGACTCGCTGCCCATGGACGCCTACACACACGGCTGCATCCTGCACCCCGAGCTCACCACCGACTCCATGATCCCAAAGTACGCCACCACTGAGATCCGCAGTAAGTCGCCTTTCCGGCAGGGCTGCCCAGGGCTCCCCGGCTCCTTTAGGCTCCACAGCCCAGCCAGCCGCCCTGCTCCTGCTCATCTCCCCTTTCCACCAAAGCAGGCAGGGACAGAGCTGGGAAATGGCAAAGCACAGCTGACCTGGGAATTGCAGGCATCCTAGAGAGACTTCCCGACTCGGGGGGTGTCCTTGCTCCCATGGGGCATGCCAGCTTCTCCTCAGCTCTTTCTGTGGCACAGGAATTTGCCCCTCTCCCTCCAATAACTCTAAGGGCAAAGGCGGGAGAGTGCAGGCAGATTGAGTTGCAGGCAGTGGATGAATCGGCATAAGTCTGTGTACCTGACCTTCAAGTGCTCATGAAACATTGACGATGCTTAATATAACTCAATGGCAGGGATTGCTCCTGGAGAGAATTCCTCGCCAGAAAAGCGACCTTGTTGGGAGGGTATTGGCATGTCCCAGGTCTCTCCCTTCCTTTAGGCTCCAGCTGAGGCTGTAGGAAACACTGTTCCCAGCCCCATCCCTTCGGTCGCCTGGGTCCCAGATGGTCCTGCTGAGGTGGGATGCACTTGTGTACAAAGAGAAATAGGCAGGTTCTGAGGTGTAGCTTGTGGTCTGCCCTGCCTCTGCTGACACTTATCACAGCTTTCCCCATGTCACCAAGTGTCACCTCCACCCCCAAATCCTGGGCTGACGTAGGCCAGAGCCCATCCCTTCCCCAAAGGGTGGGGTGTGATGTGCTTCAGCCCCCATCCACCTCACATCACCTCCCCAGCACTCTGCTGAGGTCTCTCGACACATTTTCCTCAAGCTGTTGGAGAGGTACAAGCAGGTCCATGGGCTGATGGTGTCCTTCCTCCCCAGCACATCTTCTGCACTCAGGCAATGGCTTAGCTGCGCTGTTGCAGTGGGTGCCAAGGGAAATCGATGTAGTTGTGTCCCAAGGAGAGGGTGAACCAAGGTTCCAGGCTCTCCCAAGGGGAATGAAATCAGGATGATATCCAGGTTTCCATCTGAATTGCAGCCCCAAGAGAGCTGGTTGGCAGCCTTAGCAAGCACAAGCTCATGGCAGAAAACAGAGAATTTCAGCATTTTATGGCAGTGCACAGCCTGCTGCTGGCTCCCACTCCAGGCAGCCCTGGCACCTCCTTCACCAGCACACGGGCAGAGCCAAGGCCTCCCTTGTTGGAGGGAACAAGGAGGGGAAAGACAGATGGTCCCTGGCAGGAAGACATTAGCCCAACTTTGGGTAATTCATGCTATCCCTTAGGTGCTACTCTGCCTCTAGGATTCCTTTCTTCCTTTCACTCTGCTCCTTTCCTTTAGCTCCCTTGCACAAAGCCCTTCCCATCCTCCCTATGCCCAGAGAGGCAGAAGGGTGAGCATCTCTTCCATGCTCATGATGGGCTCCACACCATGGAACTGCATCCCCAAACACTGAGCCAGGGTGGGACAGCTCCACCCAGGAGGGAGCACTGTCCCCATGCCCCTCCCTGCCCCATTGCTCTGAATGTACACCCGGGTGTGGGCAGCCAGCTCAGACGTCCCAAAGATTCAGCCTGCTGGGGATGGAGCTGCAGTTGTTTCTTGGTGCTGCAGCAATATTTTGACTGAGGATGAGGTGCTTTGCTGTCAGACACTGGTCACCCCAGCCTCTCTGTCTGTTTCCCCCCAGGACATTTAGCTAACGCCACCACGGATCTGATGAAGCTGGACCATGAAGAGGAGCCACAGCTATCTGAGCCTTACCTCTCCAAGCAGAAGAAGCTCATGGTGAGTGGGTCAAAGCCACACACGTCCCTGGTGCTGGGGAAACATGACCCACAGACCTGCCATGGGCACCTGATGCTTTGTGTCCCTGCATCCATTAATTGCCCATTCTAACCCTGCTCTCCACCCAGGCCAAGATCCTGGAGCACGATAATGTGAACTACTTGAAGAAGATCCTTGGAGAACTTGGGATGGTGCTAGACCAGATTGAGGCTGAGCTGGAGAAAAGGAAATTGGAGTACCAAGGTAGGCAGTGGGCTGTGTTTATGGGGTGTTTTTCCACACGAGGCTGAGGTGCAACACCAGAAACAGCCAAAAGCTTTGTACCGGATGAACAACTCCTGTGGAGCAACCACTGGTGGGTCTGGAGCTGCCACTGGGCTCTCCTGGTTTTGGGTACACTGATGTTGCAGCCATGGTCTTACTAACCTCTGGCAAACCACCCCTTGCCACGGGATAGCAGGACCCCCTGTCCTCATGGGTGCTCTTTGGGAGCCCCAAAGTCACCACAGGGTGATGGCAGGTGCCCTCTACCCCAGCAAGGGGTGAACAGTGATGGATGCTCTGTCTGGTTTAGGAAGGAGCAGGCTGGCCCCAGGCACTTGCACCACGAGGAGCACTGGATGCAGAGATGGGGACATGTGCCAGAGCCAAGCCTCCTCATGTCACCAGGCTGTGGCACATCCCAGGGGAGCATGGGCAGTGAAACCCAGGAATTTGAGGGGCCCTGGAGGGGAGAGCCCTTATAGAATCCTGCAGCCCTTATAGAACCTGCGTCACATGGCAGCAGGTGGGAGAGAGGGACACCAGCCATCCCTGACATCAAATACACAGTGCTGGGAGCCTGCCCTGAGCAGCCCTGGCAGTCAGGAGTGCCTGGGCACAGCTGGGCACCGCTTGTCCTGCCATCACCCCTGGATGACGCCGTTCCTCCTCCTCTGTTCCCCACTGCTGGCAGGGCTCAGAACACCGGCTCCAGGAGGGCTGCCAGCACCACGGTGCCAGAGCAGAGCCCAGGCACAGTTAATCAGGGGATCACAGCTGCCCCTGCCCTCGGGGCCAGCCCTGGCCCTGGGGAGCCTTGCATCACTCTCGGGGCCACGTTGGAGGGTCCTCGGAGGTGCCAAGGTTGGGCCCTGTAGGGCATCAGGTGGGGATTTACCAAGAGCCCTGATGTTCACAGTGGCATCCTGCCTTGCCCTAATTTCCTCAAACACCCTCATTAATGGGTGTGAGGGCTGGGACAGCAGAATTCGGCCTAATGAGATACCCTGGGAGGACATCCCAGGTGCCTGGAGCAGAGGAATCGCTGCTGCTGCTGTTGCCAGCACCCAGGTGCTCCAATGCCTTCAGTCCTTGCGTGGCGCTCCCGCCCTCTGCTCCAGAACCCCAAACTCCCACACCGTGCCCATGGCCTGGTCAGGATCTCAGCAGTGGGCATGAGCACCACTTTGGCAACTTCCCAGGAGCCGCAGTGCAGCAGCTCTACTCCCACGCAGCCCAGGCTGGCGGCGAGGCAGGCGGGAGGAGGGTGGGAGGTGGTGCAGGAGCACCAGCAGACCCCTGCCACAGGCACCCCATTCAGCTGGGACAGCCTGATCCGAGCTGGGGCTGCTGTGGAAGCAAATGGGAAGAGTTGCTTTTCCCTGTATTTCTACCCAGCTCGGTGCTGGGCAGGGGTGCAAGGGGCTGGAGTAGCCCACATCGGGGTCCAGAATTCAGCAGAGGATCACAGCTCTCCCACAGTCACCATCCTCACATGTGCTTTCTCCTTCACCTGCAGCAGTGCCTGAAGTGAGGCAGCTGCCCCAGCCCTGCTCCCCTCACCTCTGAGCACCCACAAGGTCCTCACCACACCCAAGAAGCTCTGGCTGCAGCACCCCTACAAGTCATTAGTCACTGAAAATATTTATTGACTAATTAGGCACAGGCAATCTGTCCACTTGGGCAGTGCCTCCTGCAGGATTAGGCAGGCTGCCAAGCAACTACAAATGAGGGTTGCTAATTACCCATAATTGCCCCAGCCTAGGCCTGCAGGCAGCCCTGCAGCAGCAGTGCCTGCACTGGGTGCTGTACCAGAGCCTCTCTTCTCTTTTCTGATATGATCACTATAGGACAATGAAGAGCCCCAGAACTAGGAATCTGGAGCAAAGCTGACTGAGGGTGGATTTTTGTGTCCCTTCTGATGTTCTTTACCTGCACCTTCTTTCATCTCCCTCAGCTCCATCCCAGCCCAGCTCCTCAGTATTCAAAGGGCACTGAGGGAGTGCTTAACAATATCCTGGCCTGAAACTGCTTTTTCCAGCCTAACAGCAGCTTGGTTTATTTTTGGATGTCTCTCTAGTGGGGTTATTTCCAGGATCACCCATTATCAGGGGCTGTTCACCCTTTGGTATCTTTCTCCATGTCCTGCACTCACACTGAGCTCTGGCTCCCCAAAAGCCTGGCTCTTGGCACAGATGTGCTGCTGGCTTTGGTGTCCTGGAGCAGGGTCCCAGGTACAGGAGAGAGAACAAAGGCAGAACCTCCCCAGCAGCACACAAGAGAGAGCAACCAGGCCATCCAGCAAATGGTTTTGATTCCTGAGGATTTCTCACACCCCTAAAATAGGCCAAGTTGACGCGGCACTCCTGAAACAGCTCCTGGTGCAGCCAAGGGCAGACACTGCTGCTCTGCCCACCACTGACACAGTGGAAGGGGTCACTACACAGCATCTTCCTTCAAGGGGGGCAGAGGGCTCTTTTCCAGGGACCTCCATGCCATGTCCTGCTGCTCTTGACTTGGGGGAGAGGCAGCAGAGCCACTTTGCAGCCTGTAATTTGTATATTCACATGGGCTATAAATGATCATCTCACATTCCCAGCTTTTGGCACCCCCATACCCTCCATCACGTAACCTGGTGATGGGCTCTGAGCTCCTGGCCCACCAAAGAGCTGGGAAAAAACACCCCAGATCTAATGCTCTGCCCATGTGGACTTTTTGAGCAAGATTTTAGCTGCCCACCCAAGGGATTCTTACCTTTGCTGTGTCTCTTCTCTCTCCAGGGCAGAAGTGTGAACTTTGGCTCTGCGGGTGCGTCTTTACTTTGGCTGATGTCTTGTTAGGAGCCACCCTGCACCGCCTCAAGTTTCTGGGACTCTCTAAGAAATACTGGGAAGATGGCAGCAGACCTAACCTACAGTCCTTCTTTGACAGGATACAGAAACGCTTCGCCTTCAGGAAAGTTTTGGGAGACATACACACCACGCTCCTGTCTGCAGTGGTACCCAATGCCTTCAGGCTGGTCAAGCGGAAACCTCCCTCCTTCCTTGGAGCCTCCTTCCTAATGGGATCTCTGGGGGGAATGGGATATTTTGCTTATTGGTACTTAAAGAAAAAATACATCTAGTGCTGACTGCTCGGTGTTTAGTTTGGTGTCTCTGTGCTGTGTGAAATTATGATGAAGCCTCAGTAACTGTAATGAAATTTGAAGCAAGGTAATGAATAATTATATTGTTTAATGTAACATTCCATAGTCTAGAAGTAGAAACCTATACTGCAAGGAAATAAGAAAACAACAACAACAAAGCGTCAACTTATAAATGCCTTTTTTAGGTTTAAGTATTCAACTCCAGCAAGAGGCTCAAGGGTTCACGGGCTCAGCCGTGCCCACCGGGAAGTGGCACTGCCTCCAGCACCAGCCAGCTCCAGTGGGAGAGACAGGAATCCCAGGAGGCTTCCCGACATCCAAGTTGACTAATGGGACTTGGATACTTGGTCCTGTGCGTTCGTGTTTCCAAATTGTTCACATTTCACACATGCAGGTAGTGGGGACTTTCTTCTTCTAGAAGGCGTTGTGTTGTCGTGCTTGGAGGCTTTCCTGGGAGCAGGGTGCAGTAGATGGTCACAGTCAAGGTGGATTTCTGTTCTTCAAGTATCCATTTAAGAAATTATTTTCATTAAAAGGAATATTTTTTATTGAGCTGCTCTTAGAATGTATCCACTTTCTACGTCTGGTTTTGGTGGGCTTTTTTTTTAAAGAATTTAATGTCTGTCTTTAACTGCCACACTTTTTTCTTGAGACAAATCATTTTGACTTTCATCCTTCTGGAGGAAGGAGATTATTGTTTTAAGCCTTTTGGCTCTGTCTCTTGAGTTTTCTTTCACGGATTTGCAAAACATCTTTCACCAACTGAGCATATCTGGACTCTGAAAAAGTACAACCATTTTCAGAACTTTTCAGCACTTTCCTGAAGGCGCTTTGGCATTCTTCCATCGGGGGCTCTTTTCTGTCATTTCCTCGCTGTGTGTTTTCTTAGGGACACTTTGCACAGAATCACATTGATGACTTTCTTGTGCCTTTTGCATGCTGGAAAGAATAATGGGCCTCACTGCTACTCATGCTTTGGAAACTGAGATCCTCAATAAACCATATGGGAGGAGTAATGGCTTGGCATCTCTAAATGTGTTCCACATCCTTCTGGTCCTAATGCAAGGCATGCCCGAGGGGAGTGGGATGTGCAGGTGGTTTGTGCTTTGGCTCATGTTCTGGTATAAAACTTGCATGGAAATTATATGTATTCCTCTTCCAAACACTAATTTCTGTCAGCACTCTGCCTTTCCAGGCTCTCCCAAATGCATTCAGTATTTGCTTTGTGGAATCAGTGACTTCAGAAAAAAGAGTTATTTTCCTTCTTTTTGAAGAGGGAGGCAGGAGGGTGCCCTGAGCTCCTCCCTTCTGCTGAATCTGAAAGGTGTGAGAACATCAATTATGGGTCATCCTCTCTTTGCTCAATTAGCTGGTGCTAAACCCCCCAGAAAGATTTATAAAGATACACCAACATGAAACCCTTACCAGGATTTCACCCTTTTCCCTTTGTTTGTGGTCCTACACTCACATCCCCCAGTGATCTCCAAAAGCTGATGAAATGCACACACCAGGTATAGAAAGGAATATTAATGGGTTACAAGGCCAGGAAACCCAGAGGGAAGGAGAGGAAATATTTCCTCCATTCCTAGGATTTCAGTCCATGAATGAGGCAGAAGGAAGCTGCTTAGCAAGACTGCTGCTGGTTACTTTGCTCCTTAATTTTATTTATTTTTGTATTTTAAACCACAGAATAAATTTAAAGTCATGGAGCAAATCAGACCTCTAAACACTGGAGAAAATAGGTGTGTGTTTTGTTAGGAGCACACTGTTAAAATGCAGTTGTTACAAGGAAGCCAGGCAGATCCAGCAGCTGGAACAAGGCATGGACAAGAACTGTGTTGTGCTGTGGGCTGCTGGGAAGCCACTGCTGCTGTAGTGGTGGATTTTGCACAGGTTCTCAGCTAGAAATAGTCAATAATAAGCCTTTGTTCTGGACCAATTTAAAAAAAAAAATTAAAAAATAAAAAACTGGTGCCACTCCCTGTCACTAAGCCTTGTTTTCCTGCGCTGGTAATGAAAAAGTACCAGGACTTTGCTCCAGGGAAAAGCAATCGGTGAGAGTGATAAAAAGACAATTACTGTGGCAGGCTGAGGCTGGATTGATGTGTGAGATCCCTGGAACGAATGTCAGAGCCCTGATCAATCCAGATTAGCCCGTTGCTGTAAGCAGCCCTGTGGTGATTACAGGCTGTCACCAGAAAAAGTTGCTCTTGCTCCAGCTGCTCTCATCAGACCTTTTCTGCTCCAGTTCCACTGCAAAGGGGAGTCCATTGCACAGCCTGGCCATGAGCCAGGCACTGGCCCAACATCCACTGCCCAGGGCATGTTCTGCACACAGAAACGTGAAAATGATGGCAAAAATCTGTTTTCTCACTCCAGGACTTTATGCTTTGCTCTCAGCAAGGTGTGGGGTAACAGCAGTGCCCAAGGGGAAAGGCTGGAAGGTGAGGCACCTCAGAGGTGCTATTTTATATTTTAGACAAGAGGGAATGGCTCCTGCTGCATCTTGCACCAAACACTCCTGTGTGCCTGACCCAACCTCAGCCAGGGTTCTCCTTTACTCTAGATGTACTTATTTACCCAAGCAAATTTTCATCCTTTGAAATCCCTGCGTTGTAGAGACAAATGTGCTTTACGGCACCTCAGTGCTTTAAAATCTGTATCTGTGCTGAGGTGTGGAACTTCTAATTATCAGAGGGATGAAAATCAGAGGCTTTATATCAAGTCCAAGCACCCCTGAGATGCAGCTTCATGACACAGAGTCTCTCCCTCCTGCCTCCCAAGCCTCCTGTTTAACAAGCTCCCAGTGGTCACATTTGCAGAGCTACAGTTTCTAAAATCTTTTTACTCCTACAGGATTTGCTCAAAAGACTCGATTATGAAAACTGTAAATGTACATGTCTGCTGGCTGGCAGCATTCTCCTTTGCTTGGCAAGGGATGGAGAAGACCTCTCCATGAAGAATAAAGGATTTCAGCACCAAGCTGGCCAGAGGACAGGGAACACATCGCAGAGCCTCTCACAACTTGCCAAAGAAACTGAGATCAAGAGCTGCCTGAGAATGTCTAGTGACCATTTGGTGGCCCTGTCAGAAATTATTTGCCAAGTGTTCCTCTGTTTTTGAATTAATAAAACCCATCCTTACCACCCGACTGCAATTTCAGAATCCAGGCGTCAGAGGGAAGAGGGATGGTGTAAGAGCTGCTCCTTCCTTCCTTTCTGCTGTGGAAGTAAATGAAGGATTTCCCCACATAACACCAAACACAAACCATTAAAGCTTGTGAAAATATTTAACATCAGGTTGTGTTTGGTGGCATTCACTGCAATCATTAGGATCAAAGCCAAAACCACCCAGACTGGATCCACAATGCAGGCAATGACAGCAACTAAATCCCTCTGGTTGCTGAAAGATATATGGGATTAAAATAATGTGGGAAAATATGAACATAGTATTTTGAGATGGCTAGGGATAATATAAAATATGATAATCTAAGATTAACATCTAAAAGCCCAAAGAAACAGGAAATAATGTACAATTTAAGAGCTAACTGTTATAACCCCAAACTTGCAATTATCTGTGGCATGGCTGAGGATAAAAGGGCAATTTCTATTCACAGCAAAGCTTCTCTTGCTACACAAGTCTGTAGAAAAGCTCCTTCTTCCATGGTGGGTCAGAACAAAGTCCTCAGTTCAGCAGCAGTGCCCAGGGAAAAGGTCAACCCCACAGGTGTGAAATGAGAGTGAAAACATCTGTGTATGTAGTGAACAGGAACAGATTTTGTACGCCTGAAAGATTTCCCAAAGCATGGCCTCAGTGGCCAAATTGCAGGTGTTTCAGACCCAGCCATTTCTACTGAATCTAAAGTTATAAGCAGTAATAAAAACACACAGGAACTTGGATTCTCTGATAAAGCACATTCATGACAAACAAATTTCCTGGTTTTCCCCTGGTGCAGATCCCCAAATGTGCCCAAAGGACATTTCACTATCGTTGTCTTTCATTCTCCTTTTAACTTGCTTTCCTCTAGAGGATTAAACAGAGAGAAATTAGCTTTCACTGAGCAGCCCTCAGTGGAAGAAGGAATAGCAGCTCTGCCATAAATAATGAGGATGAAGAATTGCTCTGTCAGAACATGGGTGGCCATCACTGCAGCAGTACCTGTGTGCTGCTGGCCAGGCTCTACCTGCAGAGAGGAGATTATTTCCATTTCCGTGTCACTTTGGTGCTGAAAAGCTGCAGTAAGCAAAATGCCAACCTCCACCCACTCCTCAGGAGCTCACAGTATTTTTTCTTCCTTTTTGCTCCCTCTGCACAATGATTTACTTTCAGCCCCTCTTTTTCTTTACCCGTCTCTGCTGTCCTACCCTTTGCTCTGTCCTGGACTCCCTGGTGTCACTCTCCTGTCACAGACAGCAGGCAATGCGTGACCATCTCCAGAGACATTCCTGCTGTCAGGAGTCCCTGGGTTGTCAGGTTCTGCATCAGTGAACACATCACCTCCTGTTCCCCCTGTCTGAGGAAGAACTGCTGAGAAAGGAAGGAGATGGAATCTTGCTAAAAACCTCTTAACAAAAACGGCACAAATCAATGACTTCTAAAACATTCCTTTAAAAATAACACCATCCATCTCCCTACTTGCATTGCCTCCCTTCTCAGCTCTTTCCTACCAGCACCTCATCTCTCCTGCGACCTAAATCCTTTTTAGCTCCAGGAGAGTTATCCAAATAAAGCTACTTTGCAATCAGAACAGAGTGTAACCAGGTTTGAGGGTGCTGTGTAATGCTGCAGGCAGTTCTTGACACAGAACCAAGTATCCTACATAGTTAAGTATTCGCACACACTCTCTACATCACAAGGTCATGTCACTCCACCACCAGCCTCCTGAACATTCTCCTATTTTTGCTTACCAGAAGCAATTTCTTTCCATTCTGTGCCCTTGGATCCAAGCACTACACAACAGCAATAGTTTTGGTTTTTTTTCTTGGCCACAAGGAAAAAAAATCCAACAAAACCTCTGAAAAAAACCAAGAAATTCCTCAGTAAACAAAATAAACCAAAAAATCACTGGCACAGTTTTTTTCCTCCTAATTAAACTATGACAATCAAAAGAAAAAATACATATATTCTTGTAAACTTCAAACCTCTACCACTCCCATTCTTCTAAAAATTGAATCAGGTCAGGCTATGACAAAGCTGAAGCACCAGAGCCGTGGTCTGGAGTGGTGCTGGGCCAAACCCACAGCAGATCCGTGCTCGCTCCTGCAAAACCCGCAGAGAGCAGGCCCAGGGTGCCATTCCCTGCAGCACAATCCTGCTCAGTGTGGGAACAACAATCCACACATCTGTATAAGGCCAGCAGGCTCTGTGGGCTGAGCA